AGATTCAGTCCAGACTCAGGCGTAAGACTGGGCAATTGTTCTCTTTCTGCATGTTCAAAGGCCCATTTCTAATTTCCAGATAAGGTGGAAGGGTCCATCGAGTGATGTGCAAAACCATTTAGCTTAATTTGCTTACAAACTATAATCCAAATAAACTGCACTTGATGCCTATTAACTGTACAAGACCCTAAGCCGCACACATTTTTGACAGAGAAGCATGAGTGATCTAATATGATTCGAAATTTGACATAAAGTTGATTAACTTCTTTTTATGTCTTCACAAATAAAGTGCCTTTCTTTACATAAGACAATAAGCTAAACAAATAAACTGGACTTAATGTGCAACAAGACACCATGACAACAAAATATCTGATAACCAGAAAAAAGGCACCTGAGCCGCCCAAAGCTAGAGCTCTGAGAAATGTGTTTAATTTTCATTTGTACCTTTTTCCCAATTGCTATTTTTCCTGTTTTTCATTGTAAAAGGCCATGCTTTAGAACTTAAACACATTTCTTTAAAAGAAAAAGTATCTGTTTATGCTCTCAATGTATTAATTGTCAAAGATTTAATAAGAAAACATGAAAGATTTATTGACTATGAAGTCAGTCTCAAGCTCTTAAAAACCTACCTTACAGTTATCTGTAGGTATTTTGTTAAAGAAATTGGCATACATTTTCAAATGAAAGTAAAGAAACCATGCTTTGCAAAATAAAACCTTTACAGATATAAGCTTAAAATAACATTACATTCCGTCAGTTTCTAATTATCTAAAACGGTATTGAGAATATGTACTAGCTTATGTACTATTTGAGAAGTTTGTTAGCTTCCTTTCTTTCTGTTTTGATAAGCCTTGTTGATAATTCTGCTTGTAACTTGATGTCTTTAACTTCAAATTAATTGTGCGTGGAAAACCTTACAAGAAGGGTTATTCACCTGCTTCATTAACTAAGGACTTTAATTTGAACTCTTTGATTGTTAATGCCTTGTGTTTGTGTTTGCTGGCCAGCAATAACCTGTATTGCAGCAGCACTGACCACAGTGTGGGTTGTCAGAAGGTGCTTCTCCATGAAAAATATCACCCTTATTACCAGCAGGCCTTATAGTCTCAATTCATTGTAGAGACCGTAAAAGTATAGCTCACAAATGCCCAATAATCAGAAGAATGTGCCTCTTTAAACCCTGTTTTCTTTATTTTGGATGTGATTAAGATTAATTCTTAGTCTTGTCTTTAAAATCCCTTTTCAAATCAGCTGATGATCGCAGCTTGCACTGCAGTATAATGTAGTATGCTGCTTATTGCCCCCTGTATACATTTCCATATAGTTCATACACAATTATATAAAGAAACATTCCTCTGTAAAACAACAATCCCCCAGCCCTCCATAAACCCCACAGCTCATTCAATGCTAAATTCACTCTCGAGGTAAAACCTGATCTTAGCTACAAACCCACTGTGGACTTAAACAGAAATAAATATATATACGTATTTTTTTTTTATTTATTTTTTTTTTTACAATGCCCAAAGGTATAAAATGTGATTCTTCTGAGGACAAACTGTGTCCTTGGGGAAATCAGCTAAGGGGGAAACTTTCTAAATTTGACTTTCAGTATCCACAATGGGAAAGTTATTCAGCTTTTTCACACAATCCCTGCATTGCATTTAGAGCATGTCAAGACCCTTATTCTTTTCTGGTGTTAGATAAGGTTAAACTTTTGATCTCACCTGAAAGCAGCGTATGTCCTTATTATAAATTCAGGATCTCAGTTACATCCAGATGAGACCCAAAGACACACCCTGGTGTTTCCAATAATGCAGCCTGCAGTAAAATATTTAGTCTTGGAAGATACCATCCTAAAGCTCTCAGTGCTTACAGGATAAAAGCTGCATAGGAGTCAGGGATGCAACATAAAGCACAGATATCTCCATCCAGAGATTAAAGGAAGATGCTGTTGTATGGTGCCTTGCAAAAGTATGTATACCCCTTAAACCTTTGTCACAATACGACTAAAAACCTCAGCATGTTTTAGTGGGATTTTTTGTGATAGACCATCACAAACTAGATCATAATTGTGAAATGGAAGGAAAACAATACATGGTAGTCAACTTTTTTTTTACAAATCTCAAAAGTGTGGCCTCAAAGGTTTGTTAGACAGCACTGATGAACAAATAGCACCATGAGCAACGAGGGATACAACATTTTCGTTTGGCTAGCTGTATTTGCTGTAATAAATTAAATCATAATTTTGTGTTTATTTGGTTTATCTTTATTTCTGTGACGAAACATTTCAGTGTCACAAAAAAGAAAAAACAGAAGAAGTCTTTAAAGGGGCAAATCCTTTTATATGACACCATAGTAGTCAGTCCAATAACAATAAACTCTAGTGCAGTAAATATTAAACATGTGAAGAATAAAAATAGGCAGAGTATATTCTGTCAGAAAGTTATTATTTTTTTTATTAAACTGTGACAACTTCATTTTTATTTTAGGGTGTGGGCCATAAAAGAAACAATATCTGTTTAAAATAGCCTGCCATGATTGTTTTCACTGTGTTTCATTTCAGGTAAATGTGTGCAACCAAACATCTCCATGTCTGTCCTGACTTTATTCTTTAAAAACTATCTTTGATGTAAGCACTTATTTTTCCTGGAGGAAAATGCGATCAGAAAACACTGAATAATCACACTGAGCACGACTCAAAGACATGAGATGGTGAAAGTTAAATAATTAGATAGAAAAGTAAGAAAATGCTGCCAACAAGGAAGCTGTACATTTGTTCATTAAGGATGGGACACAGGCAGCAGGCATATATTAAAAAGAGACGAGCAGAGTGAGTCAGCATGAGTTTACAGAGCATCATCTGCAGGTGCTTGTAAACCAGGCTTACAAGCCTCATAAACTTACTGTGTGGGCATCAATAGCTTACAAGAGGGTTGTAAGATTAAAGAAGACAAAGAAAGTTTCAAGTTGTGTGTACATTTTTGTAGTTGTTAAAGGAATTTGATGGAAATGAAGCAGAATGGTGAAAGCAATAGAGCAGAAATCATCAGCAGCTTACAACAGGGAGATGCAACTCAGTTTGCTTGGAGGAAAATAAAAGTATAATCAATCTATCAGTTTTGTTCCGTTGTTTTAAATAATTTAAATAGAGATACACTGGAGAGTAGTTGAAAGCAAATTAGAAGCTTATGCATAAATAGAACTTTATTCATTATTTTCTCACAGGGTTTTCATCATCGGGCAACTGTAAGTCTCCATGGACACGCTGAATAACAAAGAAATCCAGTCTAATTTGTGTTTAATTATTCTCTGTGTCTCTTTATTAGTTTCTCTGATCAACATGGTTTTCTTAATTCCCAAAATTACACAAGTTTCTATTATTCCTGAATTGCAATATTATTCCAGCTACACATGCAATAACAATTTAGCCTGCAGGGAAGGAGGAAATTGTCAAGTTGAAAGATTTTTAAGTTTGTATTGTGTTATTTAGAAGGAGCCTGTGGTGAAGTTGAACATCAACTGGTTTTATTAAGAAACTAATTACAGATTTCTTGTGTTTTTGCTTTCTTTGTTGTTTTCAGATCATGTAAACCATTCTTTTATCAAAGATAATCTGAGTAAACGCAAAATTCAGATTTCAGTAATGTTTTAATTTATTGAGGGGGAAAAGCCTGAAAAATAATCTAGCCCAAAGTAAAATAGGAATTGTACCCTAAACATATTAACTGGTTGGGCAACCCTAGGCTGCAACAATTGTCATCAAATGTTTGAAATAACTGACAATGAGTCTTTTACATCACTATGGGGGAATTTTGGCCCCCTTTTTGCAGAACTGATTAAATTTAACCACATTGGAAAGTCTTCAAGGATGAATGGTCTTTTTATGGAAACCACAGTATCTAAATTGGATTTAAGTCCATACTTTGACTAGGCCATTTCATTTAAATTGTTTTAGCCATTCATTGGCGTACCATTTGGCATAATTAGGATTAATTATCCAGCTAATATGTGCTGCAGTAAATATTTCCTTAACATTGACAGCGCAAAATTTAATAAACAGCTTGAAACGTAGATATCTTAAAACAGCACTCAACATATATTGCCATTTAGATATAACTGTATATTAATAATGTTAACAACATACATGAAGCAATTTGTCAAAAAGACAATGTCTATACAGTCTGCATCTTTTGTTTGCTTCTCTTTGTCTATTTGTTTAAAACTCATAAGACACCAGGGCGCAGCATGTGGCGTAGCGGTAGTGTTTGACTCATACGAAGCCCCCTGTCCTGGTTCGAGTCCCAACCCTGAGACCCGTCTTCCCCTCTCTCCACCCCACTTCCTGTCTGCCTACTTTTAAAAAAACCGAAAACAAACAAAGGCCACTAGTGCCACAAAAAACAACTCAAGAGATACCAAGAATATATGTTTAAAAATACAGACAGTTTCTCAAGTTTGTTAAACGTGATCGTCAGGACAATATTTAATGTAAATCATTTCAAATAACTAAGCAAAGTTGGGGAACTTGATAGCTCTATTTGGAATAAGTAACAGAACATACTGATGCATCCTGTACACTATGTAGGGATTTATATGAAATGTTGTTTTTTTCTCAAGCTCAATTTCATGTCACAGCAGATGCATATTTCAGGCTCAGGCTGCCTAAACAGATCAGTATCAACTTTTGAGCTGTAGCTTGGGTTTATCGAAATCATACAGAGCCTCAGTTGTCACCTCGTACTCTCTAAGAAATCCTGTCAAGATCTGGTAGAATATCCATCCCTGCAGAGCTTCAAAATGTGTCTACCAACACCTGGTACCAGGACTACTGTATCTTTAATCAGATAGTGTGGAAAGGTTCAGAAATACTGGGCTTCATTTTCAACAGTACTGTTTAAAACAGAAAATTCATTATATTTTTAATGTTCAGAATTTCAGAACTGATGTTTTAAATTGTAAATTGTAAGTTGTAAATTCAAAAAAGTATGATTATTTTTGTGGACTGCATGGTGGTGCAGTTGGTAGCACCGTTATCTGTCAGCAAGAAGGTCCTGGGTTCGACTCCCGAAGTGGGGTCTTTCTACATGGATTTTTATGTTCTTCCCATGCATGCGTAGGTTTTCTCCGGGTACTCCGGCTTCCTCCCATAGTCCAAAAACATGACTGGTAATTGGTCTGTCTAAATTGCCTTTGGGTGTGCATGGTTGTTTGTTCTGTGTGTCTCTGTGTTGTCCTGCGATGGACTGGCGACCTGTCCAGGGTGTATCTCGCCCGTAGACCGCAGGAGATAAGCACGAGCTCCCCATGACCCTGAACGGAAGAAGCGGGTTTGGATGGATGGATTTAGATTTTTTTTTTGCATTTCATATAACACTTGATTCATGCTCAGTTTTCTTCTCAGATCTATTGTAATCAATTTGTAACTTCCTGTACATTCAAAAGACAATGGAAAATAATTTTGTTTAATTAACATTTCTCTGTTAATCTTTTTTAATTCACATTGGTTAAACAAAAAAAATAGTCTGTTTTAGTGCTTTTTGTATAAAATGGAAATACTTTTATGTAAGACTAATGTGGACAACCACCTTACATTTTAGAGATGTGTTCTGTGGTCTGTCAAAACTGAAGATTTTGGCCATACATCTGGAGAAAAAAGAGAAATGTGCAAGCTTGAGAGCACCATGTGAACTCTGAAGTACAGGGGTGGAGGCATCATGTTTTGAAGGTGTTTTGCTGGTGATCCTCACAAAATGACTTCATGGAAAAAGAAGTTTGTGTAAAAATATTAAAGCAACACCTAAAGAAATCTGCCTGGAAGTTAAAGCTAAGAGACCCAAATAGGTTTTCCAAGCACACAATGGCCATAAGGGTGCTGCCAAATGAGGTATATAGTACATTAAGGACAACGTCGGGAGATCTCTGCCACATAGAACGTTTTTGGGTAAAGCTAAAAAGGTGTGTGCCACCAAGTCGACCTACAAACCTGACTCAGTTAGGCTAGTTCTGTCAGCAGGAATGGACCAAAATTCCTGCAAAGTACATTGAAAAGTTGACGGAGCTATACTCTAAACTTTTCATCCAAGTCAGACATTTAGAAGGTAATTACTCATTATTATGTCATTTAGCAAATGTAAATGCCTTTAGTGGGAGTGCACACAGTTTTCTCTGACAGATTCTTTGTGTCTAGAAAATATATACACTCATACCCTCGTTATTATGAATTACACCTGTCCAGTTGATTATTAACATAACTAGTGAATCAACCAATCAAATGGAACCAACTCAGTACATTTCAGATAGGGTGAAGATGACTCACTGAAGTTCAGCCTTAGCATCAGCCTGGGTAATCAGACGGATTTCGGTAACTTTGAACATGGCATGGTAGTTGGTGACAAGTGGTTTGGCAAACTGGTTCAAAATTATAGAAAGACAACAGTGACTGAAATAACCACTTTTTACAAGCGAGATACGTAAATCTCTGAACATGTCAAACCTTGAAGTACAGGGGTTGGACAATGAAACTGAAACACCTGGTTTTTACCACAATAATTTATTAGTATGGTGTAGGGCCTCCTTTTGCAGCCAATACAGCGTCAATTCGTCTTGGGAATGACATATACAAGTCCTGCACAGTGGTCAGAGGGATTTTAAGCCATTCTTCTCGCAGAATAGTGGCCAGGTCACTACGTGATACTGGTGGAGGAAAACGTTTCCTGACTCGCTCCTCCAAAACACCCCAAAATGGCTCAATAATATTTAGATCTGGTGACTGTGCAGGCCATGGGAGATGTTCAACTTTACTTTCATGTTCATCAAACCAATCTTTCACCAGTCTTGCTGTGTGTATTGGTGCATTGTCATCCTGATACACGGCATCGCCTTCAGGATACGATGTTTGAACCATGGTCCTCAAGAATGGTTGGGTAGACCTTGTTCAGTGATGCACCCATCTAGCACAAGTATTGGGCCAAGGGAATGCCATGATATGGCAGCCCAAACCATCACTGATCCACCCCCATGCTTCACTCTGGGGATGCAACAGTCTGGGTGGTACGCTTCTTTGGGGCTTCTCCACACCGTAACTCTCCCGGATGTGGGGAAAACAGTAAAGGTGGACTCATCAGAGAACAATACATGTTTCACATTGTCCACAGCCCAAGATTTGCACTCCTTGCACCATTGAAACCGACGTTTGGCATTGGCATGAGTGACCAAAGGTTTGGCTATAGCAGCCCGGCCGTGTATATTGACCCTGCGGAGCTCCCAACGGACAGTTCTGGTGGAAACAGGAGAGTTGAGGTGCACATTTAATTCTGCCGTGATTTGAACAGCCGTGGTTTTATGTTTTTTGGATACAATCCGGGTTAGCACCCGAACATCCCTTTCAGACAGCTTCCTCTTGCGTCCACAGTTAATCCTGTTGGATGTGGTTGGTCCTTCTTGGTGGTATGCTGACATTACCCTGGATACCGTGACTCTTGATACATCACAAAGACTTGCTGTCTTGGTCACAGATGCGCCAGCAAGAGCTGCACCAACAATTTGTCCTCTTTTGAACTCTGGTATGTCACCCATAATGTTGTGTGCATTTCAATATTTTGAGCAAAACTGTGCTCTTACCCTGCTAATTGAACCTTCACACTCTGCTCTTACTGGTGCAATGTGCAATCAATGAAGACTGGCTACCAGGCTGGTCCAATTTAGCCATGAAACCTCCCACACTATAATGACAGGTGTTTCAGTTTCATTGTCCAACCCCTGTATATGGGCTACAGCAGCAGAAAACCACACCAGGGGCCACTCTTGTCAGCTAAAATCAGGAAATTGAGGCTACAATTCCCACAGGCTCACAAAAAAATGTTCCTTTGTCCGATGAGTCTAGATTTGAGCTGCGACATTCAGATGGTAGAGTGAGAGTGGTGTTATGGTGTGGGGAATATTTGCTTGGTACACTGGGCCCTTTTGTACCAGTTGAGTGTAGTTTAAATGCATAGCCTGAGTTGGTTGCTGACCATGCCCATCTCTTTATAGCCACAGTGTATCCATCTTCTGATGGTTACCACCAGCAGGATGATGCACAATGTCAGATTTTCAAAATCCTCCTAAACATGTTTTCCTGAACATGACAATGAGTTCACTGTAGTCCACTGACCTCCATAGTCAGCAAATCTCAATCCAATGCAGCCCCTGTGGGATGATTCATCCACAAAACAGGACAGGTCCAGACTGCAACGAACAATCAGGTCTGCAGAGAGAATCATCAGGGCTGACCTTCCCACCATCCAAGACTTATACAGGTCTAGGGTCAGAAAAAGAGCTGCTAAAATCTCTGCAGACCCCACACACCCTGCACATAAACTGTTTAGAGTTCTGCCTTCAGGCCGACGCTACAGAGCGCTGTTCACAAAAACCAGCCGCCACAGAGACAGTTTCTTCCCCCAGGCTGTTTCTCTGTTGAACATTCAATAAAATACAAAACAACAGCATACAGATGTTGCAAATGCACCTTTTTATTATATTTGTGTATATTGTACATTGTAAATATGTATATTCTGTAGTGCAAAAACAAAACCAAAGAGCAAAGTGTACCGGAGTCAAATTCCTTGTTTGTATGTACAAACTTGGCAATAAAGCTGATTCTGATTCTGATTCTGATTCTGATGATGTGGAATAAGGGATTGGCATCATGGACATGCAGCCAGAAAATTAGGAGCAACTGTGTGATGTGATCTATCACCTCAATATGAACCAAAATCTCTGAGGGAGGCTTCTGACACCTTGATGGAACTTTGTCACAAAGATGTAAGTCCTTCTGGGTCCAACCCAGGTGTACCTAATCAAGTGGCCGATGAATGCATATATTTAGCTAATGTAAACAGCAATGCAGCAGTCATTAATTTGCATTCCTAACACAGACTTGTCCTTCAGTGCATCACCAGAGAGACTTAAATTTAACATCTGACAAGTTTAACAATTAAAAACTATAATTTGGTGCCCACCAGTGTCACCGAATACAATGGGAGCTGTCATCCAAAGTGCTCATTATAACATCAGAGATTTTTTAAAGCTAAATATATAAATAAACAGCTGTGACACTTTCTCAAGCACTCCAACGACATTTTTAAGTTTCAGCTAAACATGCCCTTAAAGTGCTGATTGACAGACTGCTAAGATACATAATTAAAAAGATGCACAAATGATAAAATAAATAATAAAATAAAACGCTTACCTTCCAGAGTTTCTCCACCCGTGACAACTTGTGTGTTTTCATTTTACCAGAGAGGCAGCACTGAGTGATGTGGATGCAGCAAGATACGGTGAAAAGTCAAAAAAGAGACACACCTCAGGACCACACTGAGAATAACCGCAGCATCAGCAACCACACTCCACGCAAGACAAAGTGTGTTTATCTGTGCATGCGCATGTTGTCCTGGTGGCCTGTTCCTAACTGTAACACTGCCCCGCTTTTCCCATATAAAGAGCATGAACCCAACACCTCTGCAGTCGCAGTGGAGGAGGTCGGTTCACTGAGGGAATATCAGACAGATCAGGGCTGCTGTTGCTGCTGCTCGTATGCATTCCTGCAACACAACGTCGAAAAGAGAGTGAAGAGTGCTGCCAGACCGCTCAGGCCCTTCACAACAATCAGCACTGAACCACTTATCTGGGCCATTAGCTGCATCTAGCCTTCAGCACAGTTCAGCATTACACACCACACACAGAGCTTCTGCCAATTTATGTAGCATTTCAAACAGTCTAAAGTCTCTCCTCAACTTTTCCTGCCAGCAATGTTTCTCCCACAACACCAACTTTTTCTGTACTGATAACAGCTCATCCTATGGAGCTATGGAGTCTGTGTGTCCCAGAGGAGCTGATACCTGTAAGGTGTCACAAAACTGTACACACGATCTGTCCCTGCAAGGCTTCGCAAGAAAACAAATACACTGTGTAATGTGACAACTCCCTGTTAATCTTCTTTAGTTTGTAAATTATTAAAAAACAAAAACAAATTTTCTCCTAACAAAAAAAATCACTGAAATGTTTCATTAAATCTTGCTTTTTATCAAGGAATAAAAGC